GTGTGTGTGTGTGTGTGTGTGTGTGTGTGTGTGTGTGTGTGTGTCCCTTCAGGTCTGAGTCTGGTGGTGGGTTTGGTTTTATACATCTCCAGTATAAATGATGAAGTGATGAATCGACCCAGAGAGCCCGAGCAGTTCTTCCACTACCGCTACGGCTGGTCCTTCGCCTTCGCTGCCTCCTCCTTCCTGCTAAAAGAGGTGACAACCACACACACATACACACACATACACACACACAGCACAGCTGCATACATGCAGAAGGATACAGAAGAATTAATGCATGAACACCACAGATTGCTGAATGCACACAAACTTACAGTAAAGTTTTCAGTGGGTGTTTCATGATTGTGTTATTTAATCCGAACATACTGATGTTGTGAACAACACACACACACTCACACATCTGAGCAAACACATAAGCACATTTCAGGAAATTCATTGACAGAAATATGTACTGATTTCTAACAGTTATAGAAAGCCAGTGTGTGTGCGCGCRTACACACACACAGATTGTGTGAAATCTGGTTTGCATGTTAGCAAGCCCAGTTGAAATAAACACACGTTCAAGTAGCTACACAAACGCACACAGAGACACACAAAGTGCCTGCGTAGGAGCTCGTCATCCCGCTTGCATCAATATTCATAAATGTTAATAGCTGGAACACTGGAGGGCAGCAGCTTTGTCACAGCAGCTTTATATGCTGCAGAAAATTCCTCTCTGGGGGAAAGGAGGGGGTCTCTACTCCTCCTCATCCTTCATTCCTCTCATTCTTTTAAACCCATTCTCTTTTATTGTCTTCCTTCATCCTGTCTTCACAGTCTGCATGTCCTTCACTTTTATCTTGTCTCTGCTCTCTTCTTTAATCTTTACTTTTTTTAATCCATCATGCTCTTATCTCCTTTGCTCCCCTCCCTCCTTCTCTTGCTGCCTCAGATTTATCTTATCCTTGTGTCTTTTTTCCCCCTTTTCTCCATATTTTCACTCTTTCAGTTCATTTTAACATTTCCCTCTTTTTTATTTTTGGGCAATGTCTTACTTTGATACTCTTATATTTATTAATTTTGTTCTAATGTGCTGCTTTCTTTATGGACATATGCTATAATCCACCAGTAAAACTCCTTTCACCAATTTAAAATGGCTGAAATAGAAAATTTGACACTTAACTCAAAAAAATTCAGTCAGTTTTATAGATAGTTTGCTTCAATTTGGTGTGGCAGTAGCTGAGCTTTGTCCAAAACACAAACTGAATGTATAACAGCTGTGCTTAAAACCTTTGACATGCACGGGTCCAATCAAAGTCCAATCGTTTCCTGATATCTATTTATCACCCGATATATTCAAATTTGATTCATCATTTCTAACTCATAATTGTCTTCCTCTCTGTAATTTTTCCATGTTTCCTCGTCTTCGAGCTCGTCCTCCGCAGGGTTTGTAAAAACACTTTGAAACATGCAGTTTTTTTTCTGTTGCACACAGTCATTCACACACAGCCTCATCAGCATTCAGGTTTCTGAGCTGTTTCACTGATGATGTTAGGGATGAATAGGGAATGAGCCGAGAATGTTCAGTGAATGCCCAAGTGGAAACATGAATACATTTTTTGATAATTGCCCAATCCGCAGAGTCGTTTTGTCGACACTCTGCAAAATTGTGATTTTTTTTTTTTTTGCTCTACCTCTTGATGGCAGAGGGTTGCAATTTGGAWAAAAATAGGTTGATAAGTTTGTCATTTAAAAGAGTTGCTGAACACTWTTAGCATTGCAGATGTTGTATTTTAATGGATGGAAAGATAAGGGTGTGTTCTCTCTCTTTTATTGATTTTCTGTTTTTTTAACAAATGTTCCCTAAACTCCWYCCATTTATCATCCTTTCATTCRTTTCCTTTACCTGCTTTTCTGTCAGCGTCCCAGTGGAACCGATGTTTTCATCTCCAGCAGTTATTTTGCTAGGGGACAGGTTGCTGTGGCGGCCATCTTGAACTGGTTTGACTCTAAAGTTTGTAAAGTTTCATCAAGAATATGTCCGGTGGTTCCTGAAACATTTTGCTAACAGACAGCTAACAGTAAAGTTTGAAGCAGAGGCCGTGTGTGATCAGTTCACTTAGAGCAGTGGTGATTTCCAGACATAAATTTAAATGCAAATAAACTGCTAATGGAATATTGAAATAATATTTTCATCCTAATTATTGCAAATATTTTTACAGTAATCATAAATTAATATTGTAGTTATTTGATTTGTTTATACTATTGTGCCCCTATTTGCAAAGTTTGCAAATGTAAACAATAGGGGTGCATCGATACAGAAAATTCAGTAAGTTGGTCTCACGGTTCAATATTTTTGATTAAAAAGATGAATTTATATGCCTTTCTGAAGATATAATTTATTTAAATTAATTCTGTACATTTGTCTAACCTCGAAAGTACAGATTTAAATGAAATATTGCTGAAACAGCAAGTTTCTCAGCATATCCGAGCTCCACAACGCAGCCTAAGAATAATCAAACACAGATCCACTGATCCTTCAACATAGAGCATCTTCAGAAGACGAGTTGATAAAATACTTTTTAAAATCTGTATTGTGTATTGAACAATTCTAGTTACATGTATTTGAAGAAATTTAAAGTTATTAGAGGTTAGWACTGATGTTAAAAGCACAACACTATATTCTTAGGTTTTCCTTTTTGTAATATTGACAGTGTTTAATCTATTGTGTTTTGATTGATAATAGATTAGTTACATGTCCGAAATATCTGTAACAACACATACTGTAATTAAATGTTATGATAACAGTAGATGAGGTTTTTGTCTGAAWGCCTGTGATTCAGCCGTAGGTCAGTAGGGGGCGAACGCAGGCACTGAAGAAGGTGTATAAATAGATGAACTTCCTGGTTTTTCGCCAGTGTTGGTTTCCTGTCAGCTCGAGTGACAATAAACCTCACTCAGATCCAGAATTCTGGTGTTGTATGGTTTGATTCCTTCTACAAATCATTTTATTTAACAATGGTGTTTTTAATATCAACTTTAGTTTTTTTGAATACGAATTTTCTTACATATTGTTGCACCCCTTGGAAACAAGTCATATTTGTAATTTTGTGKGCCAGAATCTTAAAAGTCTGAGAACCCCTGGCTTAGACTTAACATGGGAATGATGCTCAGCCACTACCACCTAACTTCAGCTCGGTATCTATTTACTAAAAGCATCCATTTCTGTCTCAACCCCAGGGTGCAGGTGTAATGTCGGTCTACCTCTTCATGAAGCGTTACGCAGAGGAGGAGCTTTACCGCCCCCACCCTGCGCTCTACCGCCCCCGCAYGTCCGACTGCAGCAACTACAGCGGCCAATTCCTTCACCCGGACTCCTGGGCTCCACCTCAGAGGGGCCGAAGTGCCTCCGACGTCTCGTCTGACATTTCCATCCAGCTCAACCAGACCCCGCCTCCGCAGCAGSCCTGTAAGGGGGGCAGCAGCTCCCAGGCGACGCCCTCCTCCTCTGGGCCTTCGTCAGCTGCYAGCTACCAGCTCCAGCCTGCGTCTTCCTCCTCTACCTCCTCCTCCTATCCACACCCGCTTCATCCGGGGGCCACAGCCACCCTAACCAGGGTCCCCCACGCCCACCCCCACTCGCAGCCCCATCCCCATCCGAGCGGACCCCCATCTCAGTCCTTGCCGATGGCAGCACCACCCGCTGCTGTGCCTCCYCCACGCTACCACACACGAATGAGCGCCTCGCCATGCTAGACAACATGAGCGGGGGGTGGGAG